AATAGATAAAGTTTTGGATGGGAAGGATGAAGTCAGCTTTGAAGACAGACAGCAGATGCCCTACGTCCAGGTTTGATACATATGTGAATCTCTCTGTGCTGCAGTGTTTTCAGTGGAAATGCATGTGTCTTGACGTTCATACAGTGTTTTTGTCAGCTGTAGAAATAAAAATATTAGTGTTTTACTGGAAAATTATCTTCAGACCGGTAAAACTGTCAAATAGGTCTATAGACCCTACACAAAGTAGACTCTGTTTGTAACAAATGCCTAGTTTAATTGGGTTTTTTTGAGGTCTGAGGTTGCCCCCTAGTGGCTATTTGTATGCATAACTGTTTACTGTACAGCAGCAGCTACAGTGAATGGATGATCAGTTCTCTTATAAACATTGATTGACAGAGGTGAGTTGGAAACACAACAGCAACACCTGCTGGTAATTGAGTAAAACTTAACACAACAGCAACACCTGCTGGTAATTTAAAAAAGGCTGCAGAGTAAAACAATTTAAAATAATATCTACTTATTATACCGCTAATTGAATTAGATTTTTTAATTTTTTTGCGGGACAGGCTGTGATTCATGAGATCCACAGGAAGGGTGACGTTACTCCTCTAGGTCTCTACCACTCTGCCACCAAAGATACAGAGTTGATGGGATACTCCATCCCCAAGGTGAGCTGCAGTAATACTGCATACATACTGTACTCTGGTGTTGATGTGTGTCATCTATATGTGTCACGTAGGTTTACTGTACTCTGGTGTTGATGTGTGTCATTTGTCTAACCTCATCTATATGTGTCACGTAGGTTTGTGATAAAACAGAGTTAAAGCATGGATACCAATAAGAGAACTTTGACCTGACAAGTTGAATTTTATTTTTGTTGTTCATTTGTCAGGGAACCATTGTTGTGACCAACATTTCCTCCGTGCTGAACGAGGAGGGACAGTGGAAGTTTCCTCATGAGTTCAACCCTGAAAACTTCCTCAATGACCAGGGAGAGTTTGTCAAACCTGAGGCCTACTTACCCTTTTCTGCAGGTAAATGAACGATAGACCCACAGGTCGTACTGTTGATGAGAGTATTTGTCATGCGGGTGTTGCGGACATTTCAACCCCACAGGCGTCCGAATGTGTCTCGGAGAAGCTCTGGCTCGTATGGAGGTGTTTCTGGTTACCGTGAGTCTGCTGAGGAAGTTCAGGTTCACCTGGCCTGAGGACGCAGGAGAACCTGATTTTACACCTCTGTTTGGAACCATCCAGACCCCGAAGCCATATCGTATGAAGATCCAACTCAGGGAAACGCCATAAATTCAAGGCAGATGTGACAATTTATTGGCATTATAACTGTAATGACTAATAAAAGGTCAACATTTTGAAAATCACATCTATTTTACAATGACATTTTAAATGAAATGTTTTCCTGCTGTTGCTTGGTTCTCCACTAGGGGGCCCATCACCAACTTCTGGAACCATTGCTATAAACGGTGTGATAAAAATTGTCTTAAGCCCCCTATCTTAAAGTCCTGGAACTACATTCTGAAACACCAATATGTGCTGAAGTTATTCCAGAATTTATGGAACGTTGGTATATAGTTTTTACCCAGATGAGCAAAATAAGCTCGACAGGTAGAGGGCAGCATTGCTGCCAATGAAAACATCAAACATTCCCGCCTTTTGTTTTGATCAAGTTTGATCAATTTTGTTATTGATAAAGATTGGGAAGCCATTATTCAGCACACTGTGAAACACTGTTGGCTTATTGTTGCTTTGCTTCGGTGAAACTACAGCTTTTGTTGCTGCTGGATTGTTTAACAGGTCAGGACTTTATTGTCATCGTGAGGCCAGGGGGCAGCGCAGGGGTTGGGGGGTTAGTGGGTTGGTAGAGTTGGACTTGAATGGTGTGAGGTGCGTGCTGACATGGAGATTCTGTGATGGGACTCATTTGGGTGAAGAGTGCAGCAGGAAGGACAGAGAGCAGCGGAGTCAGAGGAGGAAGATACAGTTGAACAAGAAGAAATAAATACATTTGTTTATTTTTGTAGAGATTATTAGGAATTAAGGACAGATTAGGACAGGAGTTTGGTCCGGATGACCCACAGAGGGTGACATGGAATCAAAAAGACAAAGACAAACTTGGGATTATCAGTGAAGGATTAACAGAGCAGGAATATCTTAAAAATGGACTGACAAGAAAGCGTCGACAGCACAAACACACATTTTTATTTTTATTTATTTATTTATTTTTTGCTGCCATCCATCTGTCAACGTATTTAAGTATGCAGGAGTCTCCAGGTGCCATGGGTGTGGACGGCAGCTATGTCAGTAACGTCCCCGCTTTCCTCACCAAGCTGTGGACGTTGGTTGAGGATCCAGACACCAACCATCTTATCTGCTGGAGCTCTGTGAGTAAATAATTGCATTGATTAAATAAAGACAACCGTAATTAGCGAAGGGGGTCGTCGCAAAATATAATACAGGGAAAATGCTAACACAATTGTTGATACTTAGCGAAAGAGCTATACAGTAGGTTAGCTAAACTTTCGCGAGGAGTAGTCGAAATAAATTAAAACAAACTGCTTAACATTCACTAAATTTAGGATATATGTAATCTGAAAGATAATGGAAAGTTGTATAAAATTACTAAACAGAAATTAAAAGCACAACACGCAACGTTTAGGCAGATAAGCCCTAAATGTATGGCGCTAAAATAGTAGTTTAAAGAAACTGAAAAGTTAGCTCTACAGTAGCTACTGTGTTAGCCAAAGCTAACAAATACAACGGTTGCTTAAGAAAATAGATTAGTCAAATAAGATGAAACTTAAATTATTATTAAATTTAAAAAAAATATTAAAGGTCAACACGCGAGCGATAAAATACAAACATTATCTTAGCTTAGCTTAAAGATGTAGCTCAAAGTCAGCCAGTAAGGATACAGAAATTGCTTTTATATAAGTCTGGAACATCAACAAAAATGTCTGCTTCAGTTTCTTAACATTCCCCTGATGATGTCATTAGGTTGTTTTGTTTTTGTTTTTTGTGTAGCTAAAATCAAAATTTTATTTACAACTATGGCTGTTCTCTGTTTTAGACAGGGACTAGTTTTCATGTCTTTGACCAGGGACGATTCGCCAAAGAAGTTCTTCCAAAGTACTTTAAACACAACAACATGGCTAGTTTTGTACGACAGCTCAATATGTGTGAGTATACACTCCTCCTCTCCCCTCCTCTTTCCTCTCCTCTTCTCCTCATCTTAATTAATGCACATGTTTTCAGATGGTTTTCGTAAAGTTGTGAACATCGAGCAGAGCGGTCTGGTGAAGCCGGAGAGAGACGACACGGAGTTCCAGCACCTGTACTTCCTGCAGGGCCACGAACATATGTTGGAGCACATCAAGAGAAAGGTATGAGCACAACAACTCCACACAAAACATACTTTTTGGGGCTAATTCTACAGTATAAATCCTACTAAGTGATTGAAGTTATCTCAGTGCCATCTGGTCTGGGCCGCTGCTAAGTTCTGACCCTGGTCGACAGGTGTCCATGGTTAAGAGCGAGGAGACCAAAGTTCGCCAGGAGGACCTGAGTAAACTGCTGTACGAAGTCCAGCTGCTCAGAACACAGCAGGACAACATGGAGTGTCAGGTGCAGGACATGAAACAGTGAGTTAGAAGAATGTGGCGTTTGAACATGTCAGTCCTGTGGGAATATGTTTTAGTCATGGAGATTATTTTTGTTTTCTCTGTGTATAAATCTTTTAACAGAAATGGTGTTAATAATAGTAGCAAATAATTGTAATAATATTGGTTTCTAGTATGAGGCCTCTATAAACCTATGAAGATATTCCATTAAAAACCAGATGTTTGCAGCTAAAATAGTAATTTATCACAGTAACAATATATAGAGTGTATTTCTAATTAATTTAATTTTATCTTCATTGACAAAAACTGAATGATTTTCCTTTAAAAATAAGGACATTTCCAAGTGACCTTAAACTTTTGAGTCGTAGTTTGTTTTTTTAACATATGTTAATATTATTATTTTTATCTGTCAAAATGTGAGTTCAGCTGGAACTAAATAATTATTTCATTCCCTGAATGAAACTCTCACTAACACACGACCATGAATAAATTCAATCATTTTTTTTTATTTGATTAGAAACCCAGGCAGGTGTTGATTTTTTCTTACATTTTTATTCTCCCCTCTTTATACTGTAATTTCACTCTCACCCTCCTCTGTGACCCACTGCTGCCCTCCAGTCCAAACACCTGACTGATGACTGATGACTGACGACTGACTCTCCATCTAGAAGCTATTGTTGATCAAAATAGCTGCTGTGTCCGTCGTGTGACCCTGCTGCTTTGTGCGCAGCATTGTTTGAAAATGCGAGCAGAGAGAATGTTCAGCTGCTCACCTGACACACACACACACACACACACACACACACACACAGCTGCAGAGACAATTCTCTCAGGAAGTATTTCACAAATCACCCGCTTTTGTAATAACTTAACTGATTGTTTTAGTTTGAATTTACATTGGTCTCAGTCATCCAGGTCTTCATCATAATCTCAACGGCAATTTAATGCAGGTAACTGGACTCACCTCGAGTAAGTTACACTTCAACTTACTTGAAGTGAGTCAAGTTGACTACTTTCAATTGCCTTTCAGATTACATTAGTTAGCTTACCATTTCAGCTTCTATGTGATGGTAAATATTACGTTAGTCTAATATAAGACATAATAGTTTGTATGCAAATATCGAAAATAAATTTATATATATTTATCGTTTTAAAATGTTACAGAACTGTTACTCTGTTGTTTCTTTCCTTTAATGTTGTACATGAGAGAAGTAGTTACAATAGTAAATGTAAAATACTTTTTTTTTCTCTCAACCATAAAAAGTTAAAGTTCCTTCCTCTTTTTTTTGCTGCAGAAACATTTTTTTTTTTTTTTTTTACAGAGAAACAGTTGAACACTTTTAGTCTTGCACAATTCTTCCCACCCTTGGCTGTTGAAGCTAACCACAGAGGTCAAAGACACACCGTGCTGTGCTGTGTTTGACACAACAACAACAAGTTGTTGACAGAAGAGTAAAATAACAAACTTTAATTCTTGAAATCAAAGTTGTTTTATTCCTCTCTTCACCACAAAGAGGTTTATGGTTCAAAGGCCGGGGGGTCAGAGGTCACATGGGGCTCAGTGTTTATTCATACTGTACCAAGTCTGTTTTGTTTGGCAAACACCAAAGGATTACAAACATGCTATAAAATTGGTTCAGAGCGACTGATAAAGAAACAACATCTTTGTTTCAGGTCCATGTTTGAACCCGACTCTTATTCCTACTTTTCTCCCACTCACTCACTCACTCTTCTCCTCCTGTCTGTAGGCAGAACGAGGTCCTGTGGAGAGAGGTGGTCTCACTGAGGCAGAACCACACGCAGCAGCAGAAAGTCATGAACAAGGTCAGAAAAACCACCTCGGCCGAGTCTCAGTCTTTTTGACTCTTACTCACTAATCTTAGAGCTCAATCTAACAATTTGGAATTCAGTAACCATTAGATGTTGTATATATATGTATATTTGTAATTATATATATATACATAAACATATATGTATAGGTCTATTTATATATATAAATATATACATATGTATGTACATATATAAGTATACGTATATATTTATATATGTATATGTGTATTTATATATATATATATGTATATATATACATATATATATAATTTTCTACAAAGGATAAAGAGAAGTGTTTTTGAGACTATATTTACTGTATATTTGCTGGAGTCTTGGTGGTCCCTGGTGGTTGAAGCCTGCTAGTACCTCCTTTGCTTCTCTTTGATCATATGGCTGTACACTGACACACAACACACACATCACACGTCATCCAAATAATGAAGCGCAGTGTATGTGTGTGTTTTTTTTTTTTTTACGAGCCTCACGGCAACACATGTTTCAAGGATTTATTATCTTTGTTATATGTTTGTATTTGTTGAACATGGTGTATATTTGTATTTTCTAACCTTTTTATTGATTTTTTTAACATCCCATCTCTTTAATATATAACTCTCTGTATGTGTGTGTGTGAGAGAGAGAGACATAGAGAGACATAGAGAGAGAGTCAGTGATGGTTTGATTTGTCTCTCTTTCCACCAGCTGATTCAGTTTCTGTTCAGCCAAATGCAGCCCAACTCACCCAGCACTGTGGGCCTGAAGAGAAAGCTGTGAGTACACACACACACACACACACACACACACACACGCACGCGCACACACGCAGTGGGGCAATCAACAAAGGTGAGACAAACAAGGCCACAGAGTGAAAGGCTGGCTCAGCTGACAAACTGCATGATCCGATGCAACAAGCAGCACGAAGGCCAAAGAGTGCTGAGTCAGTACAACACTAACACACACACTCACACACACACAGCACTCAGCTGTGTGTGTGTGTGAGAGAGTGTAAACTGCTGGTTCAGCTCTTTAGCTGTTGAGTGTGAACATTTGTTTCCCAGTGCGTTCGTGTACAAGTTCACATCACTTCAACTAAAAATTAAACTATAGACGGAGCATCCTGATTGGTCAGTTTTACTCACCAGACCAATAGGATTTCTGTTTGGAAATCTTTATTTTATTTTGTCTTTAACATGTGCACAGCAGCACATCATTCAAAGACTCCTGTGTTCACGTACTGTACGTGGAGAATAAAGTTACAGTTGTATTTATTTACTTTTCTAAACCTTGTTAACCATCAGATTAGTAGAGTATAGTTAGTAAGACTAGTAAACTAAATCAGACGGTCGTCCAACACAGGTGATAATGTTCAAACCCCATGACTGTTGGTGTCTTCTGTGGAATGTTCTTCCCAGGCCCCTCATGTTGGACGACGGCTCCAGTCCTGCTTCAAAGTTCAACCACAGTAACGTCATGGAGACCATGCAGGAGCCCTTCTTCATCCAGTCGGTGAGAAAAGAAAACTGGGCTTTATACAAATCTTAAAGGGTTTCAATTGTTTTGTTTTCAAATATGTCAAAGGTCAATCTATCGTAGTCAGTCCCTGTTACTCAAAACAACAACCAGGACTCATGTTAAAAAATAAAAATAAAATGAAATAAATCAATCATCATTTTTTGTACAGAAATGACACTCAGATAGTTTTTTAAGAGAACAGGATAAGATAAGATTTAATTTTTTTTTCTCTTCATTTTCAGACATCCAATGACAGCGCCTCCTGCTCTGCAGCTGGTCTGACAGGAGGACCAATCATATCAGACGTTACTGACATGACTCAGGCCAGCAGGGCCCTGCAGATGCAGCTTCATGACACCAGGTGAGTGACGCAGTGATTCCCAACCTAGTGTGACGTGAGAGATCATTCGCTGTTCTACGGAAAATGATTTCACTGAATAGTTCTGGAATTATTCTTTGCTCGTCAAAGTGTAGTGACCGGCAGACAAAAAAAAAAAAAAAAGAGTTGTCAAAGAAGATTTTAGTGTTTCTTTCTTCAATTCCTGTGAGTAGATCAGCGTTGTCTTCAACTAAACAGGTCAAGGTAGTGAATTGTGAGTAAGTTAAAACTAAAAAAAATACATTTCATTTTGTATACTTTTTGTAAGTTTTTTTTTTTGGTGTGCCTTGGGTTTTTATTGAATGAAAAATATGTGCTGTGGCTCAAAAAAGGTTAGGAAACACTGGTATAATGTACCATGTTTTATGTTTTGTTTTGTAAAACACATCAGATATATATATATATATATATA